CCCTGGGGGGCTGCGAAATTGCGACATTGCCGCCACTTTCCAAGGTTGCTAGTGGGTCCAGCGGAGTGAGGCACCGTGCGGATATGAGCGAAGCTCGCCGTCCCTGGGGTGCCGCGATCTGCGAAATCGTCGCCACGTTCGAGGGCTGATGATGGGTCCAGCGGAGAGAGGCACCGCGCGGATCTGAGCGGGACCTCGCCGCCCCTGGGGGGCTGCGATCTGCGGAATTGTCGCCACTTTCGAGGGTTGCTGGTAGGTCCAGTGGGGTGAGGCAGCGCGCGGATCTGAGCGGGACCTCCCCGTCCTTGGGGGGCTGCGATCTGCGAAATTGTCGCCACGTTCGAAGACTGCTGGTGGGTCCAGCGGAGTGAAGCGCCGCGCGGATCTGAGCGGGACTTCGCCGTCCCTGGGGGGCTGCGACATTGCGAAGTTGTCGCCACTTTCGAGGCTGCTGGTGGGCCAAGCGGGGCAAGGCACCGCGCGGATCTGAGCAGGACCTCCCCGTTCCTGTGGGGCTGTGATCTGCGGAATTGTCGCCACTTTCGAGGGTTGCTGGTGGGCCCAGTGGAGTGAAGCACCGTGCGGATTTGAGCGGGACCTCCCCGTCGTTGGGGGGCCGCGAAGCTGTGATACTGTCGCAATCTGCGAGGGGTGCTGGTGGGTCCAGCGGAGTGAGGCACCGCGCGGATCTGAGCGGGACCTCGCCGTCTTTTGGGGGTTGCGATCTGCGGAATTGTCGCTGTTTTCGTGGGTTGTTGGTGAGCCCAGCGAAGTGAGGCACCGCGCTGATCTGAGCGGGACCTCCCCGTCCGTGGGGGGCTGCGATCTGCAACATTGTCGCCACGTTCGAGGGCTGCTGGTGGGCTCGCCACGTTCGAAGGCTGCTGGTGGGTCCAGCGGAGTGAGGCACTGCGCAGACCTAGCGTGGCCTCGCCGTCCGTGGGGGCCTTGCCATGTTGTTGCTGCCCCTCCGACGTTTCAAGCCCCTTGCCCACCATCTCTTTTTGGACCCTGCGTTTTCTTTAGTGACTCAGGGGTTCACTCAGATACTCATCGTGTGCCCCTTGATTGGGGACCTGCGAACCTTCCGAATGCCGCTCGCAGAAGTATATGCGTCCATGTCACGTCGCCGCCTTATCGTCAAATCTCCCAAGCTACTCCTGTCCCGCATTGCGCAGGGGGTGGGTACGTCACCAGGGTAATGTTTGAATAGAGCACTGCGGTCGCGTCCTTCTCCCGCCTCCTGCCTCCCGCGAGACCTCGCCGACCTTGAGGGGGGTGCAATCTGCGACACTGTCGCCACTTTCGAGGGCTGCTGGTGAGCCCAGCGGAGTGAGGCACCGCGCGGATCTGAGCGGGACCTCGCCGTTCTTGGGGGGCTGCGATCTGCAGAATTGTCGCCATTTTCCAAGGCTGCTGGTGGGTCCAGCGGAGTGAGGCACCGCGCGGATCTGAGCGGGACTGTCCCGTCCCTGGGGGGCTGCGAAATTGCGAAATCGTCGCCACGTTCGAGGGTTGTTGGTGGGTCCAGCTGAGTGAGGCACCGCGCAGACCTGAGCGGGACCTCGCCGTCCTTGGTGGGTCGCGATCGGCGACATTGTCGCCACGTTCGAGAGTTGCTGGTGGGTCCAGCGGGGTGAGGCGCCGCGCAGACCTGAGCGGGACCTCGCCGTCCGTGGGGGGCCGCGAACTGCGACACTTTCGCCACGTTCGAGGGCTGCTGCTGGTGGGCCCAGCGGAGAGAAGCACCGCGCAGACCTGAGCGGGACCTCCCCGTCTCTGGAGGGGGGGGGGCGCGATCTGCGACGTTGTCGCCATTTTCCAGGGCTGCTCGTGGGTCCAGCGGAGCGAGGCACCGCGCAGACTTGAGCGGGACCTCCCCGTCTTTGGGGGGCTGCGATGTGCGACGTTGTCGCCAGGATCGAGGTCTGCTGGTGGGTCCAGCGGAACGAGGCACCGCGCAGACCTGAGCGGGTCCTCGCCGTTCTTGGTTGGGGGGTTGCGACCTGCGAAACTGTCGCCACGTTCGAGGTCTGCTGGTGGTTCCAGCGGAGTGAGGTACCGCGCAGACCTGAGTGGGATCTCGCCGTCCTTGTTTGGGGGGGTGCGACCTGCGGAACTGTCGCCACGTTCGAGGTCTGCTGGTGGGTCCAGCGGAGTGAGGCACCGCGCAGACCTGAGCGGGACCTCGCCGTCCTTGGGGGGGGCTGCGAAATTGCGAAACTGTCGCCACTTTCGAGGGGTGCTGGTGGGCCCAGCGGAGTGAGGCACCGCGCAGACCTGAGCGGGACCTCGCCGTCCCTGGGGATTTGCGATCTGCGACATTTTCGCATGGTCCAGCGGAGTGAGGCACCGCGCGGATCTGAGCGGGACCTCGCCGTCCTTGGGGGGCTGCGATCTGCGACATTGTCTCCACTACTCATCAAATCTCCCAACCTACTCCTACCCTGCACTGCGCAGGGGTTGGGTACGTCGCCAGGGTCATTTCACGACGCTGGCATTTCTGGGTCCATCCACCTCCCTTCCACCCCATACCATTCCACCTCCATTCCTCCCCTGGCGCCCCAGTCGCCCCCCCTTCCCCCTCTCCTTCCACCCACTCCCCTCGGGGTTCGTAGAGGGGGGTTCTCCCAAGGTGGGGTTAGGGAACGAACCAGCTGGATGCTCGCATACCCTTCTCCCAGGAGCCCTTGAGAGCGGTGTTCCTCCCAACCCCGCTTCTGCCCCTACCCCACGTCGGACCGAGGTATAGGATCGAGGTCGGTTCGGGGAGGTAGCCTAGTGTTCTTATTCGTGTGCGTGTGTGTGTGTGTGTGTGGCTGTGGCTGTGGCTGTGGCTGTGTCTGTGTCTGTGTCTGTGTCTGTGTCTGTGTCTGTGTCTGTGTGTGTGTTGGATGTTCTTGTGCATCCTGGGGGAGGGTACCCTTGGATGTTCTGTTTGCTTTGGCCGACGGAGGGTCTCATGTTCTTGGAGGGTGCTCTTCTGGCCCAGGTTCGACAGTACTCGGACCCTCCCGAGGAGGCCTCTACAGCCAGCCCGCATGATAAGGATGGGCAATTCTCGCAAGGGCACCCTTGCATCCTTGCCTCCTCGGCCCATCCTTGGCCGCTTTCGTTGGCCGCGCCCCGCCCGAAAAACGTTCGCGTAATCCTCCAAGGCCCTTGCATCCTTACCGCGCATCCTCATGAGACGGGTTGACTGTATCCATCGGTCGTTGAAAGTAGGCGTTTTGGAGTCCCAGATTCCAATCTATTTTCGGCGCCTTCGTACTTCAATGCTTGAGTGGCTTCACATGTTCCGTCCTCCTTATGGGGCGGGCGGAACCCTATCTACTCTCAACGCCTCCGTACTTCCTGGTTCTACCTACTTCTTCCGACCGATCGACCGATGGGTATGCCCGCCCGACCCCCCCCTGGCTCCCAGCCCTCGCTTGCCCCCCCCGCCCCCCGGGGGAGGAGAAGCGGGCCCACCTTCAGCGAGGAGGTCCGCGAGCAGGGGATGTCTCGAGCGAGAGGGGGGACCACGCCACGAGGGAGACCCCCCGTGCCTGCTCGCATCTCCTCGCCCTGGTGGTGTTGGTGTCGCCTTCCTCTACGCGAGCGCCGCCTGGTTTCTGCACTGCCCGCCGGGGGGGGGGGGGGGCTCGGGGCGCGCGCCCGCCCGCCCGCAGGGGCCTGCCCTGCGCGCGGCCGCCGGCTCGGAGGTGTGCATGCTTGTGTTCTGTGCCGTTCTTTTCTCGGCGGGGGCCATCGATTTGGACGCCCGAGGTTAGGGGAACAAGAAGTGGCATAAACATAAAAACTCTGAGGTCCGCGCGGATTTCTCGGATCGGCGCTGGGGCCCCCTGGCGGCGCCTCTGGCGCCGCCCCTGGTGGGTTCCGCGCGCCAGGGAGGGGGGTCCAGCGCCGATCCGAGAAATCCGCGCGGACCTCAGAGTTTTTATGTTTCTGTCACGTTTTGTTCCCCTAGAAGTGGGCACGGAAAGAATGGGTACACTGCCCAACAACAAATGTTGTCCCCCAAACCAACAGCGGCCGCTGTGGGGCAGGCGACCCTCTGTCTCAAATGTACACAGGCCGCGGCGGCACCGACAGCGAGTCCTGTTCAAAATGAGCAAGAACTGCTGTTGGGCATTGTACCCATTGTTCCCTACCCATGTCGATGTATTTCCCTAATCAGTGCTTGCACTGAAGGGGTCCTAGCAGATATTGAAAGATTTGGCGAAAGTTTCCCGCCGATTTTGCTGGCCGGCTGGGTTCCTGGGTTCCCGGTTCCGGGTTCCCGGGTTCTGGCCAGTGGTTTTGGGCAGATTTCGTTGGGCATTGGGTTCCCAGGTTCCCGGTCGATCTCCTTATCGATCTCTGTATCGATGCCTTTTCAAACCATCCGGTGATTGGGGTTTTTCTTTGGAAATTTTTGAGTCCCAGATTCCAATCAACTTTAAGCGACTTCCTACTTCAATGATCGAGTGGCTTCACCTGTTCTGTCCTCCTCAGGGGGCGGACGGGACCCAATCTATGTTCAATGCCTTCCAACTTCATGTTCCTACCTACTTCGTCCGACCGATGGGTTACATTTGCTTTGGTCCCAGCTTCTTTTGCGCGCAGCCTGTAGTTACCAGTTTGAAGCATATCCCTGTCCCCATGTCTGGCATCACCTCACCTCGGTGCCGATCTTGAGGATTCCCCCAATTTCATGTCTGGCATCACCTCACCTCGGTGCCGATCTTAAGGATTCCCCCAGTTTCTGAGGGCACTCCCCTGAGATTGCCATCGCTTCTGGCTCGCCGATCGTGGAGATAGGGATGAGTCCGAGCTGGATTCAGGAGGGGAAAAAACACAGACACAACTAATCGTCGATCCCCTGGAAAATATGGAAAATGTGGGAAGTGGGGGGGGAAGACAAAAACCCAGAAAATATGGGAAAATATGGGGAATCCTTTTATTTGTGTGTATTTCTTTGTGTGTCACAGTTTCCCTTCATGGATAGCCAGCCCGAGGTCCTCAACGGCATCTCGGCGCACAACGGATTTCTGCCCCCGCAGACCACATCCGGCAAGGGCCCAGGCGGCGGTGGCTGGGTCGTGACCAACTCGCAGCTGCAGGTCTGCCTCAGGACAGCTCGTCCCCCGCTCGGTCCTTCTCGCCCGGCCGCCGCGGCGTTCTCTGGCGGGGCGCGGTCGCGTCGGGCCGGACGAGCGGGCAGGATAGGGAAAGGGGGGGATACGAAGTCTGTTGCACGCAGCTGGTTTCCGCCCCTCGGCGGGGCCCAGCCCTCGAGGCATGGGCGCCTCCTGGCGCCAGGAGGCGCTAGGTCACTGATGGGTAATTACAATGCCATACCGGACCCTGGCGCAGCCTTTTTGCGATCGGCTCATCTTCCATGTCACGCATTCAACATGTCGCCACCTCACGATTTGGGCACACCTCTCACGCGTCTCGCGGGCCCGTGGGGAGCGCCACCGAAGGCCCCAGTAGTTGCGGTCGCATGCCGCCAGCTCACCAGCAACAGCCACCTTGCCGGAGTGCCATATACCTGCTGTTTCCTTCTGGCCGGTCAATGGTAGGTGTGCGTGACAAGCATTTGTGGGTTTGGCCTCTGCTTGTCCACCCGGCCCTCTTCTTCGCTCCCTTGGAGCATCATTGGGAATCCTGGGGCAATGGCGTCGCCAAGCACGGGTCGGGAGCCATTCGCAAGTTTGTTCCCCGCACGGGGTCTTCTGCGAGGGATGACCCAGACAGGACCCAGCCGTTTCGCTTTGCGTCGTCCCCCGTGCTGCTGGCCTTCCTGCTCCGGCGTCGGAGGGTCTCCCGAGCCCTTTCAGGGCGTGCGCCGCGCCAGGGCCGCAGCCGATGCGGGTCGCGTGACTTCCCTGCGGATGAACTCTTGGCGCGCTTCGCTTGCGCGGGCGCCCTCCTGCCGCGCCTCCTCCAGGACAACGCCAGGAGCCTGGCGCCCCCGCGGTCGCCGCAGTGAGGGCGCGGCCTCCCGGCGCCGCGGGTGGACGGCGGCGTCGTGGCCCTGCTCGGCTCGCGTGAGAGGGCAGCGCCCCGCCCGCCCGCCCGCCCGGAAGGGCCCGAGCGCCCCGTGACGCCAGCGTCCCCCTTTCCAGAAAGTGATCACAGCTAGGCCGCACTACAGTTTTTGAAGTCTCACTGTTCTATTCGTAGTCCGCTAACCCCAGACAGGCCCGAGAGTTCGATCGATCCTCCTCCTCCTCCCCCTCCTCCTCCTCCTCCTCCTCCTCCTCCTCCTCCTCCTCCTTGTAGGTCCTTATCCTCGTCCTCATCCTCATCCTCTTCCTGGCATCCTCATCCTTCTCCTCCCTCCATCCCTCCCTCCCTCCCTCCCTCCCCTCTCCTGTCTCTCCCGTGTCGCTTTCATTTCTTTGGTTCTCGCTTCCCCCCCAATCCGGTCCCCTCATCCATTTTCGTTTCTCCTATTCGAGGATGAGGTCGGCCAAGAGCGGGGAGGAGGGAGGGCAAGAGGGAAGGCCTTCCTACTCCTCATCCCTTCTCCTCTCATCATCCCTCCTCTTCCTCCTCCTCCTCCTCCGCCTCCTCCTCCTTCTCCTCCTCCTTCTCCTCTTACATCCTACCTCCCCCTACCTCCCACCTCCTCCCCGTTCATTCTCCCTCCCTGTCCTCCCCCCTCCCTCCCTCGGGGCACTGCAGAAGAGAATGGGCATCCAGGAGCTCCAGGCAGGGACCAGGCCGAGCAGGTGAGGCGAGCCGCTGGCCCCGTGCCCACGGGCTCCGCGCAGCACGAGGGGGTGCGAGGGGGCCGGGGGGGTCCCCACTGTGGATGGGCCCCCATTGGGAGGCTTCTTGCGGATCGGCCCCCACTGTGCCCCCTTGTACGCGCCGCCACGCTGGCCCCAGGTGTCTCTGGCCCCAGGTGCCTCGGGCCCAAGCTGCCTCCGGCCCAGGGTGCCCGGCCTCTTGCTCCACGCCTGCCCCCCAGGAAGCCCAGAGGACGGCGCGGACCCCGCAAGGCGGCCTTCTCTCGGGCGAAGAGAACTATGCACATGCATCGGTTCTGGCCAGGCCCATCTTGGCCCCAGGATCGGTGCAGATGCTCTCCTGGCCAAGGCAGGATCGGGCATATGCACCGATCCTGGGCTCGGGATGGGCCTGGCCAGAACCGGTGCATGTGCACAGCTCTCTTTTCTCTACTAGAGGCGAGGGCGCCGGTGCCGCCCGTGCCGCCTCGTGGGCGCCCCGCGCTCAACGGGGCTGGCGCTGGAGGGAGGAACGGAGGAGGAGGAGGAGGAGGAGGAGGAGGAGGAGGAGGAGGAGGAGGAGGAGGAGGGAGAGGAGGAGGGAGGAGGGAGGAGGGAGGAGGGAGGAGGGAGGAGGAGGAGGAGGAGGAGGGAGGAGGGAGATGTAGGAGGAGGGAGGAGGCGGGGGGCCTGCCGGGTTTTCGCTGCGCTGCCGCCTCGTGGGGCGCCCCGCGGGGCGCCTATCGTGGGCGCCCCGCGCGTCGGGGGCCACCGCGGCCGCCTCGCGGCCGCCTCGTGGGTCCTCGGAATTCGTATGCCTGTCGTCACTTTTGGGTCCCCGCGGCCTGAATAGGGCTGTCATGGGCCTGCTTGTTCCAAAGGGCGACTGAGGAGCTGACGACGACGACGACGAGACCATCGACTGCGCGAGAGACGAGGACGCTGGCCGCACGGGCATGTCTGACGAGCAGTGGTGGCTGCACCTCTACGTCATGCTCTCCCGCGCCACGTGCATGCGGAACATGCTGATCCTGCGGCCGCCGCCGCGGGAGTTCCTGGAGCGAGGGCCGCCAGCGTCCTTGCGGAAGGCGCTCCTGGAGTTCGACAAGAGAGCGGTTTTGTCCAGGGCGGAGGCGAGGCAGCTCGCGGCAGAGCTGGGCTTCGAGGACCATCGAGGAGCATCCTCGATCATTTTGCGAAGAAAACACGCACGACCCCCCCCCCCCCAAAAAAAAAACAGGGAATGGGCGTCCGAGCGATGGCCAGATATCGGCGTGGGTTTTCCAGCCGCGGCCCCAGAGGTCCCGACCCCTTCCCTGGGGCCAGCTGTTCCTCCTGGACCCGTCTCTGACGGTCCATGCCCTCGGTGACATCCGCCGAATGCCAAACATCGGAGGAACGCCGTCTGCAAAAACACATCGTCGGTCAGAAGACAATCCTGGGCGCCTTTCGCTGTCACTCAGTCTGGCCTTCTTGTGCTTCCAGGTGGTCCGCAGTGGTTTGCGGGCGTCGCTGGAGGCTACAGGGAGCAAACGGAGGCCACTGGAGGCCGCAGGGGGCCACTGGAGCCACTGGAGGCCGCTGGAATTTCGCCGGGGACCACAGGAGGCCTTCGGGGGCCACTGGAGGAGGAACCGCTGCGGCCAGTCAGGTGATTACAGGAGGCACCCAGCAGCGTCTAACTGTCGGAGCCCTGGGGAAGTTCGGCGTCGCCTGACGATACTGATACTATGTGCGCGTCGCCCCCAAAGGAGGCGTCGCGCGCGCCCAGTCCTATTACTGCGCGCGCGCCCACCAAAAACACCACGTACTCTTGTGTCCTCTTATGTCCCAGATGACAGCAGCGTCTCTGCTCGTAGCTCGGGCTGGACGAAAGTGAGGATACTTAAGGCCAGCGGGGGTTACGAAATCTGCTGCCTGCAGCTGGTTTCGGCCCCGGCCCGGGGCCCATTCCTCGATACATCGGAGCCTCCCGGCGCCAGGAGGCGCCAGGCAAACCAGCTACGCGAGCTGATTCTCTGCCCTACAGCGGAAGCTCATGCCAAGAAACACTCTGCTCGCCTCCAGGGTGGCTTGGGTTTCTTGGGTTTCGATGGTTTTGCTGTGGAGAGCGTGGCGCTCCCACGCCAACATGATCGACCCACGAACCCGGAAAGGAATATAGAAATGTAACGCATGGCAACGTTTTCAAAGACACCTGATTGGGTGACGGGCAAGTGCAATGCTCATTATATCGATCTTGATGTACCGTGCCGAGGGCTGTGCTGTGCTGCACCGTGCTGAATTGCGATGTGCCATGCCGCGGTTGTGCTCTATAGCGTCGTGGATCGAGTCTTCCTTTGCATCCGAGTCCTGACCGAACTGATCTGGATCTGAAGCTCGAGCTGCCTGAACACATAGTAGCTGCCCCAGAGCTAATTGACAGGGGGACATGCCAGGAGGACGCGCCGCGAAACGTCCCAAGGGATGCGCCAGGCGACGTGCAGGGGACGTGCCATGGGGTCGCACCGCGGGACGTGCCAAGGGGACGCGCTACGGAACGTGCCAATGGATGTGCCACGGGATGTGCCAGGGGACGCGCCACGCGACGTGCCAGGGGGACTCGCCAAGGGACGCCCCACGGAACGTGCCAAGTTGCAATGCTGAGTGTATCGATCTTGATGTACCCTGCCGAAATCTGTGCTGTGCTGCGCCGTGCTGAATTGCGATGTGCCATGGCGCGATTGTGCTCTATAGCCTCGTGGATCGAGTCCTCCTTTGCATCCGAGTCCTGACCGAACTGATCTGGATCTTAAGCTCGAGCTGCCTGAACACATAGTAGCTGCCCCAGAGCTAATGGACAGGGGACCATGCCAGGAGGACGCGACGCGGAACGTCTCAAGGGACGCGCCAAGCGACGTGCCAAGGGACGTGCCATGGGGTCGCACCGCGGGACGTGCCAAGGGGACGCGCTACGGAACGTGCCAATGGATGTGCCACGGGATGTGCCAGGGGACGCGCCACGCGACGTGCCAGGGGGACTCGCCAAGGGACGCCCCACGGAACGTGCCAAGCGAGCGTGACGTGAATCCTCTGAATTCCTGCGAGCGGGACGCGAAAACAAGCATTTCGCCTGAGACATCCTCTGAATTCTGGCCACCCAGGAGGCCCCCGCTCGAGACATCCTCCAAAGCCAGCGTTTCGCTCGAGACCGTTTCGCTCGAGACATCCGGTCAAAATCCAAAGAAATCCTCGCCAAACAAACGAATTTGTCGAGACATCCTCAAAATTCCTGCGCGCGGGACGCGGCACGCGCGAGACATCCTCGGAATTCCTCCGAGCGGGACGTGAAAACAAGCATTTCGCCTGAGACATCCTCTGAATTCTGGCACCCCACGAGGCCCCCGCTCGAGACACCCCTTCAATTTTGCAAAACCAGCGTTTCGCTCGAGACATCCTTAACAAATTATGAAAAAAACAAGCGTTTCGCTGGAGACATCCTGTCAAAATCCCAAGAACTCCTGGCAACCAACGTTTCGCTCCAGACATCCCCAACAAACTATTTAAACAAAAAACCCGCGTTTCGCTCGAGACATCCTGTCAAAATCCAAAGAAATCTTGACAAAGCACACAAATTAATGAGACATCCTCGACATTCCTGCGCGCGGGGCGCGGCCCGCGCGAGACATCCTTAGAATTCCTGCGAGCGGGACACGAAAACAAGCATTTCGCCTGAGACATCCTCTGAATTCTGGCCCCCCACGAAGCCCCCGCTCGAGACATCCCCAAATTTTGCAAAACCAGCGTTTCGCTTGAGACATCCTCAACAAATAATTTCGCCGGCCCAAGTCGCAGGGGGGCCGGGGGGTTAACCTACTAAAAGAGAACCCTGGGCCCGCGCCCTTTCCGGGAAAAATCAATAGACCTCCTGGTGTCTCAGGGTTGGGTTTCTTGTGGAAGGTTTCTTGTAGATTGGCCTCCGCTGTACCCTTTTTGCTATCCTACCCTTCCGCCCCCCCCGATAGAGCGAGCGCCCGCAGGAATGCCAGAGACCAGCCGGTGCAGCCCTGGGCCAGCGGGCGCGTCTTCGCGGCCGGCGACTGCCACTACGGCGCGGTGGCGGGCGGCTCGGCCGCCCACGCCCGCCGAGGGACGGAGGGAGGAGTGACCCTCTCCTCTCTCCCTCCTGCCCCTCCCTCCTCCTCCTTCATCCTGCCTCTCTCTCCTTCCTCCTGCCTCACTCCTTCTCCCTCCCCTCTCCCTCCTCCTCCCCTCTCCTCCTCCTCTTCCTCCTCCTCCTCCTCCTCCTCCTCCCTCTCCTCCCTCCTCCTCCTCCCTCTCCTCCCTTCTCCTCCTCCTCCTCCTCCTCCTCCTCCTCCTCCTCCTCCTGCTCCTCCTCCTCGTCTTCCTCCTCCTCCTCCTCGTCCTCCTCCTGCTCCTCCTCCTCCTCCTCCCTCTTGCCTCCTTCCTACCTCCCCCCTACATCCTCACATCCTTCCCACTCGCATCCTCCCTCCTCATGCCACCGCCGAGTAATCTAGTCTAGCGCCCTCCACCTCCTCCTCCTCCCCATCACTCAGCTTGGAAATCAGGTAATCCAGCGAAGGTGGACACATTCAGTCGGAAGCTGGAACCTGTACATTACCAGCGGCGGGCTGTTCTTCAAGCCCAGTACTTTTTCGAGGGTCGGGGACGACGTCGGGGTGGTGTGGTGTATACTGTTTCCCCGTTTCCCCGGGGAAACAACGCAAAATGTGTACACCATGATCCCGTATAAACCAGAATCCGCGTTCCTGTGCGAATTTCAGCGCAGGGTCGGGAAAAGCGTCGGTGTATAGAGTTCGTTTCCCTATTCGGCACCTCACCCTCGCATGACAGCTTTCGCCTGCGTCATTTTGAGCTTCGCGGTGCTACCAGTTGCTGATCCGACCGCCACCCAGGGCCTCCACGATGGCGATCGGCTCCACGAATCGCGCATTTGGCGGGAGCTTGCCGACGCATGTTGTTGCAGCCGAAAAGTTGCTCACCTCATTTGCTTGAGCATAGAGCCAAGCACTTGGGATCCCACAGTTGCGCCTACCACTGCATGGGCAGTCGCGGGAAGATTGCCAAGCAGTGCCATCGTCGGAGGGGACCAGCGGCCCTGCTTTGGAAACAATAGTGCTGCTCAGCCGAATGACTTGAGCCAAACTGGCTACTGGAGGAGGATGAGGATGAGTTTGACAACGACGACGAGTGAGGAGGACGAGGGAGAAAGTTGGGAAGAGGGGGAGGGGGAGGAGGAGGAGGATGGGATGGGAGGAGGATGAGGAGGGAGAGGGGGAGGAGGGTAGAGGAGGGGGAGGGCGTAAGTTTGTTTAATCACGCTCGTGTCGCAATGTTGTCGCACTTCTGTGCGAGGTTATGATGTTGAAACCTACCTTAGCCCTGACCACCAGAAAACATTTCGATTACCAGAAGAACTGAGCCCTGGGAGGCGATGTTCGTTCGACGCTGCTTCGACACCTGCCCTGGGTGCTCGAGATTGCTTCTGGGATGTTGCCCGTAAGCGCGATGGGAGCAACACACAATTGCGAGGCAGGAATGGTGGAATGGAGTGGGCCCCACCGCGGTGCGATACGAAACGACGAGGGCCGAACTGCGAGGGCGTAGCTCGGTTCGAAACCTGATCCTTGGGCCAGCGCCCAAGATCGAACTCACTCAAGGAGAAGGAGAAGGAGAAGCCGAGGAGGAGGAGGAGGAGGAGGAGTAGGAGGAGGAGGAGGAGGGAGAAGCCCGCCCGCAGCCGTGGCACCTCAGAGGTGGGCGTGGCACGCGGCGCCTGCTCGCGGGCGCAGGGCGCACCGAGGTCGCCCCCGGGGGGCGCGAAGAGAGTGGCGTTTCGCGCGACGCGGTCTGGGCATCTCTCCTCCTCCTCCTCCTCCTCCCCTACAACAACAAAACCAACTCTTCCCCCTCGTCCTCCTCGTCCTCCTCCTCCCTCCTCACCTCCTTCCTCCACATCCGTCCTCCTCCTCCTCCTCCCTCCTCCTGCTCCTCCCCCTCATCCCGCCTCCGTCCTTCTCCTCCTCCTCCTCCTTCTCCTCCTCCTCGTCCTCTCCTCCTCCCCTCAGCCTCCTGCTCCTCCTCCTACTATCCCGCCTCCCGCCTCCTCTCCTCCTCCTCCTCCTTCTCCTCCTTCCTCCACATCCGCCTCCTCCTCCTCCTCCTCCTCCTGCTCCTCCTCCTCATCCCGCCTCGTCCTTCTCCTCCTCCTCCTCCTTCTCCTCCCTCCTCTCCTCCTCCACCTCCTTCCTCCTCCGTTTCCTGCCTTCTGCGAGGCGGCGGCGCGAGGGCGCGAAGATGACCGCGCCTCGTTCAGCGCGGTTCCTCCTCATTCCTTCTCCTCCTCCTCCTCCTCCTCCTCCTCCTCCTCCTCCTCCTCTCCACCTCCCTCTTCTCACTCCTCCCTCCATCCTCCTCCCTCCTCCTCCCTCCTCCCTCCTTCCCTCCTCCTCCTCCTCCTCTTCTCAACCTCCTCCCTCCTCCTTCCTCCTCCTTCCTTCCTCCTCCTCGTCCTCCTCCTCCTCCTCGTCCTCCTCCTCCTCCTCCTCCTCCTCCTCTTCCTCCCAGAGGCTCATGGGACGACTTCTTGCAAGCCGTGCGGGCGGCTTCCACAAAGCCCCCCTGGCCTGATTCGAAGCCTCGCCCTTCTTAGAAGCCCCTCCCCCCCTCTCGCGCCGTCCCTCCCCCTTGCGGGCGCCGCAGCATCACAGCTTGCGCGAGTCGGAGGCTCGTAGACGGGGGGTACAGCGGATTCCCATGTCCAGAAACACCCTGCTTGTCTCCAGGGTGCCCTGGGTTTCTTGGGCTCCGATCGTTTTGCGATGGAAGGCGTGACGCGCCCCCACCGGAACTCGATGGACGACCTGGGGTCTCAGGCTTGGGTTTCTTGTGGAAGGTTCTTGTGGTCAAGCTCCCACTGTAGGTGACCTCGGCGCTCTCTCCAGCGCCCCCTTGGGGGGGGAGCCCAGCCTCATGGAGGGTGCGGATGCGGCGCAGCCCGCGGCGGGCGCAGGCGCATCGCCGAGCGCGGAGGGGTCCGCCGTCCTCAAGTCCCAGGCGTACGCCGATCCAGCCGAGGGAGCCGCCGCAGAGAGGCTGGCCATGGACGCGCGCCCGGCCATGGAGACGCACGACCTCCCGCTCAGGCATCTGCGGTTGCGTTGTTCGGCCTCTGTTGGCCAGTTTCGGCCCCCAGAAGCCGCCAAACATCCACCCCTGGTGGAAAGCTTCCCGAGATAGGCGCCGTGAGGTGATTGCAGCCGCCGTCGCCCCTCCGCGAAACGCGTCTACGCGCAAGGCCACACTTCAGGTGACAGGGGGGTTGGGGGGATGGGTTCAGCTTGCGGTTTGCGATGAGCGTTGGATCGGTTTTGCGACCTACGTGCGTATGAGTATAATACCGAACGTAATCGAGATCGATCGGTCTTTGGTTGATTGGTCTGACGACCTACCCATCGATCTCCCCATCACGACATCAACCAGTCTCACTAGTTAATGGTCCCCCGATCTACATAGTGGCATTTCACATGTTAGCTGGCGAGAGTCCAAACCCGTGTGCTTCTATGAGTATAGGTAGTGCAAACGATATGGAGAAGTATATGTGGTGCAATTAATTTCCGTTCGCAGTGAGTTGTCGACTCCACTGCTCGCGCAAACATCCCACCCACCCACCCGCAACTTGGTTTGCAAAATCTCTTCTGACCGTGACGGTGGGTACCACATGGCACTTGGCAACAACAGCGACGCCGACGACGACAGCGACAACGACGATGACGACGCCGCCGACAACGACTACGACGACACCGACGACGTCTCCAACGACTTCGACGACGCCGACGACGACGACGACGACACCGACGACGACGAAGACACACACCGAAACGCGACGACGACTACGAATGACACGACGACGACGATTGACGACGCGAGGACGACGACGACGAAGACGACGAACGCCGACTACGTCACCGACGCCGACACGACGACGACCACGACGACGACGAACGAGGAGCGACGACGCCGAACGCCGAACTCGACGAAGACGAAGACGACAAACGACGCCGACGCCCGAACGACTACGACGACGACGTCGCCAACGAAGACAACGAGAAGGAGGGAGACGACGACGGCGACAACGACGACAACGACGAGGGAGGAGGGAGACGGCGACGACTCAACGACGAGAAGAGAAGGACGGCGACGCCGACACGGGAACGATGAGGGAGTAGGAAGATGACGACGACGACACGACAACGACGACGACGACGGCCGAAAATAGGAGGACGACGACGAGACGCCGACGACGGACGACGACGACGACGACGAGGGAGGAGGAGGAAGGACGACCACGGCGACAACGACGACGGAAACGACCACGACGCCAAAGAGGACGACGTCGACGAACACGAGGAAAGACAGAGGACGACGTAGGCGACGACGACGACGACAACGACGCGGGAGGAGGGAGGACAGCGACGACGACGACAACGCAAGAGCGCGCGCGCACGCTTTTGTTGAACATCCGTGTTGCGAAACCTTTTGTTTTTGAAGGCTTCTTGGACACTCGATTTTGAAATCCTTCCGAAGCCGATGGGTTTTGAAGGTTTTCGGCATACGCGCGCGACGACGCGCGCGTCTGCACTTCGTCCCATTTTTTGCGGGGGATTCTCGCGACGGCACACGCGCAAGGGCGTTCGACAGATTTCGACATGAGCGCGCGACGCCCGTTTGGTAGCATTGTGTGACAATCTTGAAAAATTCAAATGGTTTTCTTAAGATGTCGCAGGAGCTCGCGCGGAGGTTTTTTTAGCAAATCAGTGTTGCGAAACCATGTGTGTTTGTATGTTTTTGGGGAGCTCGATTGCGAAATCCTTCCCGCACCGAAAGTTTTTGAAAGGATTTCGGCATGCGCGCGCGACGACGCGCGCGCGTATGCACTTCGTTTCATTTGTTGCAAGGGATTCGCGAAAAAGTGCTATGTTAGAACAAAAAATGTCACCGCATATTTTTCACCAGGGAACCTCAGGGGGGAAACCGGTTTGGCCGGGATGGTACCATTTCATATTTAGGATGGACCTGTGTGCAGAATATATATATATACACATATATATGAAATCATAATATCCAAGGGGGAACCGATAAGTCCGGGGGGGTAGAGTTTATTCTCTTTTTCGAAAGGAGAATCTACGTGGTGCCACTAATGGGGTGCAACCCACTCTGCTGAACTTGAAGTCGTCATCTCCACTGCTCGCGCAAACATCCCACCCACCCACCCGCAACTTGGTTTGCAAAACCTCTTAGGACCGACTACGACGATACCGACGACAACGACGACGACGACACCGACGACGTCTCCGACGACTTCGACGACGAGGAGGAAGGACGACCACGGCGACAACGACGACGGAAACGACCACGACGCCAAAGATGACGACGTCGACGAACACGAGGAGAGACAGAGAACGACGTAGGCGACGACGACGACGACGACGCGGGAGGAGGGAGGACGGCGACGACGACGACGACGACGACGCAAGAGCGCGCGCGCACGCTTTTTTTGAACATCCGTGTTGCGAAACCTTGTGTCTTTGTAGGTTTTCTGGACCCACGATTTTGAAATCCTTCCGCAACCGATGGGTTTTGAAGGTTTTCAGCATACGCGCACGACGACGCACGCGTCTGCACTTCGTCCCGTTTTTTTGCGGGGGATTCTCGCGACGGCACACGCGCAAGAGCGTTCGACAGATTTCGACATGCGCGCGCGAAGCCCGTTTAATAGGATTTTCTGAAAATCTTGAAAAACCAAAAAAAACTCAGAGTTTTCTTAAGATTTGGCAAGAGCTCGCGCGGAAGTTTGTTTAGCAAATCAGTGTTGCGAAACCATGTGTTTTTGTATGTTTTTGGGAACTCGATTGCGAAATCCTTCCGGCGCCGAAGGTTTTTGAAGGTTTCCGGCATGCGCGCGCGACGACGCGCGCGTGTGCACTTCGTTTCATTTTTGTTGCAAGGGATTCGTAAAACAAGTGTTACGTTTGAACAAACCATGTCACCGCAAAGTGTTTTTTTTTGCAAGGGGGGGAACGGGCCTGCCTGGGATGATATGATTTCATACCTAGGATGGACGAGTGTGCAGACAAATATACGTGTTGCGATATATATATATATAATAATAAATATAATATTATATATATGTATATGTATATATATATTATGATATCATACTATCCCTGGGGTGATCCGATAAATCCGGGTAGAGTCTATTCTCTTTTTAGAAAGGAGAAATAATTTCTGTTTGCAGTTCGCAGTGATTGTCCACTCCACTGCTCGCGTCAAACATCCCACCCACCCACACCCAACTGGCTATGCAAAATCTCTCAAGACCGGACGGTGGGTAGACCACATGGCACTTGGCAACGACAGCGACGCCGACGACGACACCGACAACGACGACGACGCCGCCGACAACGACTACGACGACACCGACGACGTCTCCAACGACTTCGACGACGCCGACAACGACGACGACGACACCGACGACGACAACGACGACGCCGACGCCGACGACGACGAAGACAACGACGACGACTATGACGACGCCGACGACGACATTACGACGACACCGAGCGACGACGACGTACAACGACGCCGACGACAACGACGCTCCCGACGCCGGACGACGGCGGCGAACGACCCGACGGCCGACGATGACCGACGACGAAGACACCAACGACGCCGACGCGCCGACGACGAACGAGGGGGGGGGGGGGGGGGGGGGGCGAAGACGAGGACGACGACGCCAACGAAGACGACGACGAGGAAGGAGGGAGGGACGACGACGGCGACAACGACGACAACGACGAGGAGGAAGGAGGACGGCCGACGACGCGAACGATGAAGAAGGAGGAAGGACGGCGACGCCGACGACGACAACGACGAGGGAGGGGGGAAGACGACGACGAGACGACGACGACAACGACGACGACGACGGCGACGAAATAGGAGGGACGACGACGAGACGCCGACGACGGACGACGACGACGACGAGGGAGGAGGAGGAAGGACGACCACGGCGACAACGACGACGGAAACGACCACGACGCCAAAGAGGACGACGACGACGAACACGAGGAAAGACAAAGGACGACGTAGGCGATGACGACGACGACAACGACGCGGGAGGAGGGGGGACGGCGACGACGACGACGACGACGCAAGAGCGCGCGCGCGCACGCTTTTGTTGAAAATCCGTGTTGCGAAACCTTTTGTTTTTGTATGTTTTTGGACACGATTTTGAAATCCTTCCGAAACCGATGGTTTTGAAGGTTTCCGGCGTACGCGCGCGACGACGCGCGCGTGCGCACGTCGTCCCATTTGTGCGGGGGATTCTCGCGACGGGACACGCGCAAGGGCGTTCGACGGATTTCGACATGAGCGCGCGCGAAGCCCGTTTGGTAGCATTTTGTGAAAATCTTGCAAAACCCATTGTTTTCTTAAAATTTCGCAAGAGCTCTCGCGGAAGCTTTTTTTGCAACTCTGTGTTGCGAAACCATGTGTTTTTTGTATGTTTTTGGGGAATTCGATTGCGAAATCCCTCCGGCACCGAAGGTTTTTGAAGGTTTTCGGCATGCGCGCGCGACCACGCGCGCGTGTGCACTTCGTTTCATTTTTTTGCAAGGGATCAGTGAAGAAGTGTTATGTGAGAACAACAAATGTCACCGCATAGTGTTTGTTCACAAGGGAACCTCAGGGGGGGGGAACCCGGCCTGGCTGGGATGATACGATTTCATACTTAGGATGGACGAGTGTGCAGAATATACATGAAATCGTATTACCCTAGGGGGAACCGATAAGCCCGGAGGGGGGGTAGAGTCTATTCTCTTTTTAGAAAGGAGAATCCATTTTGACCGCCTGAAGCTGTCCATCCCACTGTGCGCGCAAACATCCCACCCACCCACCCGCAACTTGGTTTGCAGAATGTATTAAGACCGTGACTCTGGGTACCACATGGCACGACGACGTCCCCAACGACTTCGACGAGGCCGACAACGACGACGACGATGACGACACCGACGACGACGACGACGACGACGACGACACCGACGCCGACGACGACGACGATGACAATGACGACGACGATGACGACGCC